GTTACCCTGGCGAATAACTCAATCTTCCCTTAATACAAATGACCTTGCCCTAGAGCATGCATTAGTGCTAATTCCACATGAGAAGAAACCACACAAGATAGTTCGAAAGTTCAAATATTTCCGCCATGATTTATGGGTTAAAAAATGCCCTCATCACAAAGGATAGTCCACAAATTAATGTTGAATATTCTGAGGGATATCATTTTTTGAAAGTGCAAACAGATGAAATGCTAAATTCTTTCTCAGAATGTAATCATCTTCCTTTTAGTGTATTTCTTTTTCTTCTTCTTTTTCTGTATTTGTCCCAAATTGTATTGAACTCTTAAACAATTATTTGTCAAATTACTACCCTCTTACATTTTGATTATGTACGTCTTTCTAAAGTAAATATATTCTGTCCACGTCATTTTCCCACGTCTCCCAGGAACCTATTCTTTACAAGCCATGTTTTTCTATAATAGATCTTGCATATTTCATAATTTTGTACTTTTCTTGTCTGGGTTTCCTTGAACATGATAATAGTTAATGCTAAATATATTACTCATTGCGGATATAGTATCGAAAATAATATCGCTTGTGACATTCGTTTGTCTCGCAATGTGTAGCAGCGGCACACGAAACGTCGTGATCTTTTAGATCCCTTGTTTACCATACATTGCGAGACAAACGAATGTCACTAGCGATATTATTTTCGATGATAATAGTTGTCAAACATATTTGGTGATATATAATTTTGAAGTCTGCTTAATTTGTCAATTATTATAATCATTGTTTTATTATGAAACAATATATCTTGTATGTATATTTTTTTTTATCTGTATTGAATCTGCATGTAAAAAGTGAAACCAATAAACTCAACTCAACTCAACTCCATGTCGTTCCCGACATTCCTACTTTAAAAAATGTATTGTAATACAATCAAACCTGTCTATTAAGGTCGCCCAAGGGAAACAAAAACAGTGGCCACTGTAGACAGGTGGCCTCTCTAGTTCAACAACATTTCTTTCTCAAGGGTGACCAACAAATGGTCGCTATATACAGATGACCTATATAGAGAGGAGGTCACTAAGACAGGTTTGACTATATGTTTATAGGGTAGGTTATCCACATATTAAGTTGGTTTTAATGATAATTTATTATTTAAAAAAAAGGAACAAATAAGTGTACTTCTGAGAAAAATCTAATGAAATATAAGGTAATCAATTTTTGAAATTGTTAGCTATCAATCGCAAACTGGCAATTCCGTTATGTACCTTTGGAGCACCTTCCAGATTTGTTTGTAATGAAATCTTCATAAATTACCATTCGTATGACAGACAGGAGAGCTTTACGAAAGCTCAATATTATAATTATTCTTTATTGATGTTGAGGTTTATTACTATTGTTGTAGTTGTTTTGTTTTTATTTTTTGTTAGTAGTAGTAGTAGTAGAAGTAGTGGTGGTGGTAGTAGTAGTAGTAGTAGTAGTAGTAGTAGTAGGAGTAGTAGTAGTACTAGTAGTAGTGGTAGTAGTAGTAGTAGTAGGAGTAGTAGTAGTAGTAGTACTAGTAGTAGTGGTAGTAGTAGTAGTAGTAGTAGTAGTAGGAGTAGTAGTAGTAGTAGTAGTAGTAGTAGTAGTAGTGGTGGTAGTAGGAGTAGTAGTAGTAGTAGTAGTAGTAGTAGTAGTAGTAGTAGTGGTAGTAGTAGTAGTAGTAGTGGTAGTAGTAGTAGTAGTAGTAGTAGTAGTAGTAGTAGTAGTGGTAGTAGTAGTAGTAGTAGTAGTAGTAGTAGTAGTAGTAGAAGTAGTTTCATGATTAGCAATATCATTTTGTTGTTTCTTGTTGACAGAGGATTAGATCTGTATCATAAAGAAATTGAATAAAAAAATAAAAATTCAATGATAATGTTCAGGATGCATTTGAAATTATATATTTTCAACAGAGAAAGTGGAAATTTCTAAATTTGTTATAACAGAGCATAGGTACGTCATCAACTTATCAGGTGGCGTTTGATTGGTAACATCTTTAATTATTCATAACATAATGGTTATCGGATTATCGCCAAGCTTTCACTGATCCGTATTTCTCATTTGCTCTTACTATTAAAACCTACTTGATATCAGATTTAATTTGAAAATAGCTGACAAGGTTATCCTTTGACAACAATTATTATATCACATATTGGCAACGTAGCACTAATCACTCTGACGAATAAGAATAGCAAGAGAATGTCCATGTAATTCTGTTACCGCCCTCGTAGAATTGCTCTACTGACATACAATAAATCGTCATCAATTAGCACTATCTTATCCAACTCATTGCCATGAGGTCGATGACACTCGCAACTCTTTGCATGGTTGATCTGAGTATAAGAAACATAATCCGAACGTGAAAGGCAAAAAATGTGCTCATATTTTGGTATTGTTGGAATTTCATCGTAATGATGCCCTTTAGGCCTACGTACATTCATGCACATGATGCTTACTTGTGTATGGTCGTATATGCTATCGTACGATGGAGGACAAAAAATTACAATGAATTACAGGAATGGTCAAAGATTTTTTTTTTTAATACTCAATTCTGAATAAAAACGCTCGCAGAAACTTTCGATAAGTCAAAATAAGGCAATTTTGATATCCTTGGCCATCAGTTTTTTAAATGAGCGAACATTGTTAAAAACAATCTAAAGAAATATCTGTTTAATTTAACTTATAATTGATTACTATAACCTTTCATGTCTGTATGTATCATGTACATGTACGTATTTCATCTTTTGCACAAGCTGCGCCTTGAGCATTTGACTGTCAAGTGGATTTGGCACCTTATAAATCTTACGTATTATTATTATTAACATTACAATGGTGCATTACGTAATCCGAACGAGATTTCTATTGGATACTTGAAGTCCCCTTGAGTTGAATCCGCGAAAGTTTTTTGCGATTGTTTCATCTCGAAATAAACAAATATAAAACATGACAACAAAGAATATCGCCGTTCAACCTCGAAACTATCCAGACTGAAATAGCCTCTAAACGCAAATTGTCACGTCGGTGGTCATTTTAATCCAATTTATTCTTTTCTCCCCTTTTATGATCAACCTGGGAATGTAGCACCTTTGCTTTTCTGCCATCCAATGTTTATACTCGGAGGTTAATCAAGTTTCAATATATATCTTTATAATCTGCTTACCTATCTCTAATCACCATAGCAACCGGGTGTAATATATCTACCGCGTTCTATTCGAGCCTACTAAAATAGATTGATAATTCGTTCTGAGTCAAGTTTAAATTCAAGGTCGACGGTTTAAACTGTTCTGAAGCAAGCTATATTGTAGTGGAAATTGAATGATAAATGGAGTATAAATGCTGAAGGCAACATTGTACACACCCACACACACGATATATAAACATACACACACACACACACACACACACACATGAGCGTGTGGATTATATGAATGATTTGGACATTATTTATTTTCTTTATAACTGTCCTTTCGACCACACTGCTGAACGAATCTTAAGTAGTTATAACAAAAAAGTATTTAAAAAAACGCATTTTAATACATCTTTGACAAAGATATACTCTTTTTCTTGAGGTAAGATGATGAATCACCAAACTCGAAAAGAATTCAAAGGACTCAAATTTACCTCGCAATATCATAAACGGTGTTAACCTTAGGTCTATAACAATACGTTACAATGCTTGTAGTAATTAGAGATGTGTGAAGGCTCCATACGAAATTGTGTGTGTATGAAGATTGCATGGTTGTTCAATCACTCCGGACAATCAGCATTTAATTGTTGAAATGAAAAAAATGCTAAAGTGGATGACTATTTACAGTTCTGCATCGGTAGGTCGACCATAACCTTTGCTCAGGAGGGACAAATCAATAAGTCAGTTACCCGATCAATTAAGTAATCACTTGTTTCAAGACCACTCTGCTCCGTCCGTTAAACCCACCTACATTGCCGGGCGCCGGGGATTAGATTTCATGAGTGGCGTAACGTGGGTCCAGCCAAGGAGGGGTAGCATTGGTCCCCAAGTTGTAAGGCGCGATCTACCATGTCTACAGTCAATAAATAAGCGATGCAGTGTATTTCACAGGGACCATATTTTGTTATCAACTAGTTTTCAGTCTTTGTTCTTTTTTTCTCTCCCTTCCCTCTCTCTCTCTCTCTCTCTCTCGTTCTCTCATTTATTTTCTAAGAAACGCATTCTATCTTGCCTCGACGCTACACAAACAAAAGAAAAATGCTGTACTAGTCTAATTAGCCTTCGTAACTCAGTGAAAGTATTCATAAGCGTACAACCCTTGGGGTATGTAGCTTCAGTCACACCCCCCCCCCCCCCCCGCGATCATTTGGAAATTGCCGACATCCGGGCCTCTGCCATCTCAAAATTCACGCAGTGATATTGCCATTTTGTAATTGCCTTCATATCGAGGATATTTTGCTGGCGAAATACCATTTGCACTACAGATAGGTGTCAAAAAAGTTCTGCCTTGCTTCGCTCGCAAATAAAAAAAAACAGAAACATTTATGTACGTCACGAGATGTGAACCTCTCAGCCAATATCGGGCTCGTATGACAGTTTTAAGTCTGCATAGTAGAGGTGTTGTGGTCGAGTGGATACGTCACCGGACTTTCGATTACAAGGTCCGTGGTCCGAGTCCCGCCGCTGCACTAATGTCCTTTGGTATAAGACATTGATCTAAATTTGCCACACTCAACCCAGGTGAGGTAAATGGGTACCCGGTAGGATTATTTCTTGAAATGCATTGTGCGCTAATAACGGTTGCCGAAGCTAAAGCTAGGGTAATAATCTTCCAAAGCTCTTCGGAAGTGCATAGAGATGTTATTTCATTATGTATTATGTGCAATGCAAGAACTTAACTGTTATTATTATTATTAACCCACAGTTTGTTATCTTCAAAATAACTTATAACTTGCTTTTAATTCCTTGAAAGAAAAATAACAATAGCCCATAATACTTTCGTTTTTCCTCCTTCTGTCATTCCCAGAGTTCCATTTTCTACGAGCTCGTCACCGGAAGCTATCTCCCCATCCTTGATTACGTCATCATTCGGGTTGTCCTGGCTTCGTCCATTCTGAACCCCTTGGTGTATGTGACCTTTTCAAAGACCTACCGGTACGGATACCAGCGAGTCCTGGCCAAACCATTCCGTATCTGTGGCTATGAATGGCGATCGAGGAAACCTCTGGGACTTTCAGGTAATAACAATAATAATTCATTTTTTATTTTTTTATCTAAAGCGCGCAGATCCAAAACGTAAGGGCCCTATTTCACAAAGGAGGTTTGTTGACAAACCTAGGTTTATGTGCGTCATAGACGCGTTTCGACGCGTTTCAGACCAACTTTTGTCTGAACCTTGGTCTGAAACGCATCGAAACGCGTCATATGACGCAATTAAACCTAGGGTTGTCGACAAACCTCCTTTGTGAATTCGAGCCAAGGTGTTCCAGGTGCTCCGATATTACCCAGCTTTGGTGTGCTCTCGATTCCGGTGCACACGGGATTCAATAATTTCTTCTCTACGGGTTCCCATTTAACAATTGGGTGTTACAGTGGTTAAACATAATAGATTGATGTCTTGTCGAGGAACATTAGCATCTACATCTACATGAGGTACACGGGTCGTGACCCAACATTTGCTCCTATGACACTTGCTCCGAGCTTTATTGATCTGAGGTAAAGGTTAGGGTTAGGGTTGTATTTGGATGTAAGGTTAGGTTTAGGTTTAGGTTTAGGGTTAGTGATGGGGCCAGGAGTGAAGTTGAGAATTCAGTTACTGTAGGAAATTGACACAAAACAACAACAAATTCACAGGAGCAAGTGTCGTACAAACCACATGAGGTCAATACCACATGGCTAAAAAAAATTGAACTTAAAATAAAGTTGAACTCTGCTAAAGATGAAATTAAATTGTGAGCTGATTTTGGCTCGTCACAGATCTAGCGATTTGTGCTCTTGTTTCCCTGTTTCACAAACACCAGGGTCCCGTCTTATAAAGAGTTGCGATTAAAACAAATCAATCGCAAGTTTGCAGTCCCCTATCTCTTATATTCATATTTGCGATCGATATCAATCGCGAATAAGATTGCGATTAATATCAACTATTTATAAGACGGGGCCCTAGATCCGCCCACGATTTATATCACAAAATACATAAAGAAAACAATATACTGCAGATATAAACTATTTTTAAACGTTTGCAGACGTAATGAATAATCATTTCAAAGGCCATTGTGTTATCAGTTAGAGCAGGGGAATCAAAACACGATCATATCAATATCTTTATTGGAAAACAAATTATACGACCGTCAGAACGATTCCATAAATGACTCTTTTGTGGCTGTTATTGTTACCCTACATTCCATATTGGATTTTATATTTATAGACTCATTGATCCATTTGTGCACATTCATGCACCGATTGTTAAATATCAGCGAGAGGAATTGCCAAGGCCTTGTTGAATGCTTGTTTGAATTGTATTGATCAGGCATTGTGCAAATACTTCTCTCGGCAAAATAACCGAGGGCATCACAATAATGGCAGGAAAATATCCAGAATGGAGGTTCATTGTTTTTTCCTGCTATTCTTTTTCCTTCAGGATATTTCCGTTCAAAATAAATGTATAAACAAATGCTCCGGCAAGACAATTAGTTCTCACGAAAGAATGGATGCATCATGAAAATTACAAACAAACAATATCGAAGGGCAGGTCAGTTTGGAGTCGCGATTTGGAGTCGGTTTATCGGTATGACAGGAGTATTAAAGAGACGAGGGAAGGGAATCAGCTTTTTCCCCTTCCTTTTCTCTGTTTAATTGGATCTCAAATTTCAATTCAAATCAATTCAAATCGTTTATTTCCCAATTCCAACATCAATATGTAAAAGAACAGTCAATGGGCAAAACAAACATTATAAAACTATCGCATTTCAATCAAACGATCAAGAAGATAAAAACATTACAAGTATAGCAGTCAATGAGAAACAAGGTGAAGAAAGGGGAAAGTAGACCGTATTATACATAATTCAGTATTGACAGACTACAAACAAACATAAGTGGATGGTTGGAAAATGTTAGAGTTAGAGTGAGTAAACCTATGGATTTGTTGTTTTTACATCATTGTTGTAGAATTACCGTCGGGTTTGTTTCTCTTCCGATCTCATTCTGGCAGGTAGCGATATGCAACGGATTTCTCATCGTATGGCTCTTGAAGAATGGGAAAGCCCTGGCTTAGTACGCAGACAGTACAGCAAAAGACGCACCAAGAGGAAGATTGCCCGGATGCATCACGTCTATACAGTCAGCGAAGACAACGGCAACGGCTCCGTCGGAAACGGACATGATAAGGAGGGTGCAGGGAAACAAAACAGATACCGGAAGAACACTTCGACGGATACGTCAACAGGCACTAGCATGACAACGAGTGCGTCAGTGAAAAGGAAAGTGAGGTGCCGACGGAACACGGGTCAGGGAAATGGCGATCAAAATCCGACCATTGTGCAGAAGATGGACTCGCGTTCCTCGGCTCCAGGTTTGTCCAACGTTGAGAATGGATCCGCTGTGTTCAGTCAGAACTTGTGGGTGCTAGACGCTTCCCGTCAAACTGTTCGCGAGGAACGCCAATCGGCGTCCTGTGAAGTGTATCCTCGAGAATGTCCAAATGTGTCATCAACTGGAAATAGCCATGATGATGCTCACTTACGGTCCAAGGATTTGTTGCCTGCTCCAAAGACATATCTTCCAAAGACTCTACAGACGCTTGCAGCATCGGCTGTGGAATCGGCTTTGTGTCAAACACAAGAGCACAAAAGAACAGTCGCTGAAGAATCTTTACCGGAGAGGGCGGGCGTAGATAGTATCATCCTATTCGGTTCGAGTAGGGAGGTGGGAGGGAGTAAGGAATCTTTTCAGAAGCCGTTCGAATTATCAGACAAGGCGGCCGCCCAAGGGCATGTATGCATCCACCTAGAAGTTATTGAATTTGTTAACAGACACGAGATGAAGCACAAGAATGCCTCGTTGGTGAGCACCATTAAAAAATGCCAACTGAAGGACAAATTTCCAAAGACAATAGACGATGGACAACCTGGACCATCGTTCGTGTTTTCCTTGAGGGAAAACCGGTTCGTACCCGAACGAATACACCAGGAAAACGTTGATACCTACTCCTGCCAATATGGTGAAGACGTTTCTTCACCGTCTATCCCTGTCACCCTCAAAACAACTATCATGCCAAATTTAGGAGAACATTCTGACCTGCCTGTGTCTGAGGCGAGGCAAGATCGTTCTCCCAATTCCGTAAGGACAAACACACATCAGCATAAGAGAACAAGCGAAATATTGCGCGAAAGTTCGCGGTATAGTGATGATATTGTCATGCTAAATGATTTGATTCTTCAAGACCAATTGCAAGATGCACACAAAGAACACAATGGAAGAATCGGTAGCTAGTAGAGCGGACACTCTTAGTTCCTATTTGGACTAATTCGGTTAATTATATATGAACCTGAATAGATAACTACACAAATAAAAAGCAAATCAGAGAAGTATAATGGTGAGAGTTTAAAGCAATCGGAGAAAAATAAGAAAGTCATGCATTTTGGAAATTTTATTCACTTTAAAGTAAGAGCACTTCAAACTGACTTAACCAATAATATCAGTGTGACGTAGTGCGGGACAACTTTCAAATTTCTTTCAACACACCTCTCTTTAGAGGATCAATGATCCTTATAATTGTTATCCATATTATATTCCGAGAAGTGTCAAACAGGAGGACGCGCTTAATAAAATAAAAAACAGAAATCAATGATATTTTTGTACACGAGTCACTCACTGACGAAATTGTCAATGTATTCATTGTATTCAATGTATTCATTGGTCCGATTTATTTCAAACTTTTGCTATTCTGTTTCTCTTATTTTCCTGCTTTCATTTATTACAAAAGTTGGATTGTCCTCAAACCCGACTCTTGGTCTAAGATCACTCTTAACAAAGGAAATTTAGACCTCTGACTAAGTTCCTATATTACACCCCATTTTTACCTCGAATTTTTTTCTACGCAAGCCATGTTTTATTCCTTGTAAAAAGTGAAAAGTCATTGTTGTTACTTTGGCGGAACTAAAATATTAATTGCCTTCCGTGCTAGAGCCTGAGTTTCTATGCATCGCTAGTCACGCTTGACGCTAGACATATCACCTTCTCATGTCACTACTTCTGCAACATGAGGTATGTCACTATCAGCTCGAGATTGCCAAATAGCCCGCTATTTCTGACTTGGGAATTAATCCCGAAGTTACAAATCGCGTCCTCATCAGCTCGAGTCTCGACCTCGAGAAATTAGCTCGAGATATTTTGATCAGCGTTCGCGCATAGTGCGAGTCTTCGGGCTGGTGAAAATGCACCGGACAAATAGCGGGATATTTTGCCAAACAGCGGGATATTTTGCAAACTAGCCCAAGATATCTTGGGAAGATTATCTCGACCAAATATCCCGCTAATCGAACTGTGGGCTGATGAAGACGAAAATTAGCTGAATAATTTGTGATCGGGATAGTTAAAGTAGCGGGTTATTTGGCAATCTCGAGCTGATGGGGACAAGGCTTTCATTGTTATCACTTTCCTTTGTTTAGAAGCCTACTGCCTTAACATTTCAATAAAAAGGATGTGCGAATCAATGCACTTTTACTAAAGTACATTTGTCTCGTAAACGAGTATATTGTCAGTATTACTTGTTGGACTCATGATGACTGATGAGAGAGAAGGATGAAAAGAGTTCATATGAGGAAGAGAAACAGAGGCATGAGAGATAGAAGGGAAGAAAGAGAGACATAGGAAAGGAAATAGATAGCAGAGAGAGAGAGAGAGAGCAAGATATGGGAAATAATATAGCCAAACAGAGAGAGGACGAGAGATAGGAAGGGGAAGTTAGGAGAGGGAAAGAGAAAAGAGAAAGAGAGAGATGGGGAGGGAATAGAAAGGAAGGTGGAATGATGTAGTGTGGAACCAATCTACAATGTGTGGACGGCGTTTGGGCGTTTGTGTGCGTGCGTGCGTGCATGTGTGGTTGTATGTGTGGGTGGGTGGTATGTGAATGTGGGTTTTTTTGGTGGGTAATCTAATCTTCCACACAAGCAGTGTCACGGGATAACAACATTGTAAAACATACCAAGGGTGCCTCTGCAAATTTATCGCTTTTTCCAATTTCATTTTGTAGGAATTTCGTCTTATTTGTGCACTTTTACACCAGGGAAAACAAAATATTACTCATTCAAGAGATATTTTTCATCATTGTGTTTTATTTATTTCATATAAAATATGATATGCAAAACTACACATTATCTTATTTGCCTATATTAAAGGTAAAAAATATTAAAATGATATTATATTTGTCTGATCACGTACAAAATATGCAAAACACGACATGTTTAGTACCATCAGTATCATATATGCAAACATGGTAATTCTAAGGATCAGTCGTATTGATGTTCCATCGTCTTTTTTTAAAGGCATGAATAATACTTTTTTTAAATTTTATTTAGATGACTGCAATATTTTCAGTTTCATTCCTTTCATATTTTTTTCCTTACAATAAACATGAAAACTACCGTACAACATACTCTTATGACAATATTTTACAGCATGTCTTCATATAAATATATTCTACCCGTCTCTGGAAGGGCAGTTTTTCTACTGCAATTATTTAGCTATACATTGCACATCTGCAAATCGAATGCTGTTGATTGCGTGTTTCAATTTCAATTCCTTAAGTGTTTTATTTTCGAATTTTCAAAGCAGATAATTCGATTCTACTCTACCATTCAGATGCCCATGGGACAGCTTGATTACTTATTCATACTTCTGTCCCCGTATATGTGTGTAAATGTATTATTTATTTTCTATCGTCTTTACTGTCAACAGAATTTGCACATTTTCCCCTGATAATACTATTGTTTTGTAAATGATAATATCATGATTTTATAGTACATCGACCTCGCCTGACTGTCAGTAAATTAGATGGAATCTCAACGCATGTTGACTCGCATCACAATGTAATAAACAGATTACGAATTCATGCCTCTTTTTTAAAAGACATGTATGCCTTCTTTAAGATAAATAACCATTCGAGGATTTCATTTCAAAAAGAAAAATAGCAAAAACCAAACACTATGTTTAACTGAGAGTTATTCGTGACAAATTGTCACATCATTGGAATAAAAATTGAGAAGAAACTTGCACCGAAATAATTATCTGCTTCCATTAAAAAACCTGTCTATTGAAGGCATCAACGGGAAACAGGAACAATTGCCACTGCAGAGAGGCAGACGTTCTAGACAGGTTCCACAAAATACATTTTATCTTGTGAAAGACGAAATACATGGCCGCTATAGAGAGTTGACCTTTAAAGAGAGGTGACCACTGAGACAGGTTCGACTGTATATCAAGAAATTGCAAATTAGAAAATCCATAAGACATGACAATAATGGAACATAGACTGCCAGTAGGCATTGAAAAAAGAAAAGCAGTTGAAAACAAATCTGAGACCCTTGACACTGCTATTTTTTCATAATTGTTTTGTTTTGTTTTGTAGTTTGTAGTGCACTCTTTTTCTTCCAGGACAGTGAAGTATACTTCCAAGACAGTGTTGTGTGTTCCTAGGGTTCATAGTGACTTTACCTTAGAAGAACTTTACGTTTGTATGTATAACACTGTCTTGACTTTATTGTGTGGCTAGAAATCTTGCCTTTTATTCAAACGTCACCATTTCTATAGTGACACCTGTAACATTACTCGAGTGCCACACATACTTGCTCTGGCAAGCACATTTTAAACCCTATTGTATTGGGATGTGCAACAACTGCAGCCAACCAATGTACTGGTAAAGCCTACATAATATGCATACGTTAACGGCTACCTATAATTCAACTTGTAAATATATATTAGGGACTTTTAGATTTGCGTGGACTGATACGTGTGACGTCCATTCAAGGCAGTGCATTAAAAGGACGTCGATCGTAGCAATTCCCATCGTCTTCGTGCGAATCTAAAAGTCCCTATTATCTCACTGAGACTAGTGAAATAATTCGTCCCAACAATTAGTGGCTCATTAATTCTGGTGTCGGTTTCAAAAGGTGTTTCTACAAGACAAGGTAGGAAAGAAACCACTTTCTATTTCCTTTATTTTAGGTGACCAATTTCCTAAGGATTCATCATAAAACCGAATACACTGAATAAGAAAAAAATGTATGACATTTAAACAAAAAGTCTTAGGGCTACGTGTGGCTTCTTTCTCACAGGTTTTCGAATGGATTTCGTCATTATTTCAAAGAAACAGGTCGAGGATTATTTTTTCCTAAGAAGGTCACGTTTCTTTGAAACGACCAATCAGACAACGAGAACCCCGTTAGAATTATGCTCGATTTGTAAACTGGGGAAACCAACAGCGGCATCAAGGTTATACGCATTATACGCATTAGCATTGACTCTCTATGCTTTGCTGGAGTGGGTTATACCTGTTGCATACGATGTGTAATTTGGATGGCGTTATTACCTACCATTATTAGGTATATGTCGCCAAATGTCAAACGAACCAAACATAACATCAAATTTGTTGTTATGCTTGTGTTTGTTTACCCTTAAAATACGAGCACTTAATATCAAATTACTTTTTGTAACATTGTGATAGACTATATAGAATGCAACTTCGCTTTAGTCCTGTAACATTTTGGTTCGGAAATCAGGCACAAATATCTAGCGTTATTCTTCCTACAGTTGTTTCCCTCGACCAATAGGGACTTTTAGATTTGCGTGGACTGATACGTGTGACGTCCATTCAAGGCAGTGCATTAAAAGGACGTCGATCGTAGCAATCCACGTTGTCGTTGTGAAAATCTAGAGTCCCTAATATGAACTCTTCGGCTGCTGCTCCGAGAACAACCAATTCCATGAGGCATTATTCAATTCATACACATACCGTACAAAAGTGAGTTGATATTACCTTTGTTTTCTTATACCATTAAAAAGTGAAAAATTCATTGGGATCATCGAAAGGGGCCCATGGCTCCTCTGACAAGGCACAAACATTATTCATAATATTGCTATTTGTTATTACTTAAAGAAGGAGGAGGCAAGTAGATATGTTTATCTTTCTTACATTTTGTATTGTAAATAGCATCTCCCTCTATAATGTACATTATTTTCTCAAGCCTCCTTTGCCAGTATTATAAGCGTAATAAGTCAAAGTTTAAACCATGAATACAATACGGGGCCAGACTAGACTTACATTACACTAAAAGGCTCCTTTAACCAACATTCATCATTAGTTGAATATTCAGCTTATACGTACATGTTTAGTAGGCCTATGTTTAATTGCTGAGTATTTAAATATGTTTTCCGGTGTATGACTACTGTTTTTATTACCAAAATATATCCATGTTTTGTATCCTATTTCTGTTCTTTGTAAACTATGTCTGAGCCTTTATTAAATACATGTGAGTGAAACAAATATCCATTTTGAAAAAAAATTGAACAAATAAAAACAATTAATTTTTATTGAACTGAAAGGTTACACTGGCACTCGGCGTTGATTATACATCAGACCAATAATCAATAATCAACGCGGAATTAGATATCCGACTTAACCAAAAGTATTAAAGCATAATACGAATTCCTAGTAATTGCTTTAACTCTAGTACTATATTTCTACTGACATACTTAACGTCATACTCGAACTAATATTTCCAAATAATATACGCACAATTTTTGTTACCAAGTAAAAACGAACAAAGTAAAAGTTAAAAATAAGTACCGGCCCTTAAAATGACACACCGTCCGGTTGCTTTCTTCGTCTTTCTGCACACTCGCTCATTTGCCACTTGCACCTTTTCGCACAAAACAATAGGCACCAACAGGTCTTGATTAGCTTCATGTTAATCCTTGATCCTGAACACCGGTATAGGATTAATCTTGCACTGAAAACAGTTTAATAATGTTGAAGCCTTAGTTATATCTATCCCACGGTAAATACAATGTGCCATATAAAGAGTTAACTTTTTTCTTTTTCAAGAGAAGTCTTTTTTAACAAATGAACAAGTGAAAATGTGGTATTCCATACGTATTTCCCCTTTTTTACTTATTTCAGAAATCTTTTCCCTCCAATTTACAAAGTCCTCCATCTGAACCTGTACGTTTGTATCATGATCTGGTAAACCTCAGATGAGCGACGTTTGGCCGTTAAGGTTGCACGTATTATTTTGGGCATTTGAAATCGAGCCTCATTTTGCTGGTAAAGCTGAACGTCCTTCTGCCATTGAAAGTAAACTTCCTCGTGCAGTTGAATTTGAATGTGTTTTGGCCGTTGAAGCTAAACGTTGCATTGTCGTTGAAGTTGAGCGTCATTTAGTCATTAAAGCTGAACGTCCTTTTGCCTATGAACCTGGACGTCATGTTGCCATTAAACCTGAACTCCTTATGCCGTTCAAGTTAAATGGTTGTTTGCCGTTGAAGATGAACGTCATTTTGCCTTTGAAGTTTGAACGTCCTTTTCTAATGAAAGGGAACGTCATTTTACCATTGAAGTTAAACATCCTTTTTTGCAATCGACGTTGAATGTTCTTTACTGTTTACTGTTGAAGTTGAACACCCTTCTGCCAATGGTACTAAGCATCCCTTTGCTGCTAAAGCTTAACGTCCTTTTGCCGTTACAGCTAAACGTTAGTTTGCTATTAAAGTAGTTCATATTTTTTGAGATTCTCCCTCTGAATGATATCCTCGCAGTAGTGGAAGACTTTCTTAATATTCTCTGTGTCTACTGCGCATGTGTAGTGGGGATAACAGCACTTACGGAACTTGATTGCCGTATTTTGAACGGTACTCAACTCCTGGAAAATGACAAGATAAAAAGAAACCCCAAAAGGAAATGAATTGCGAATTGTTAAAGAGGATCGGTTAGTATAGTCACATTATAAATGTCGTATTAGTTGAATAAAAATGATACATTTAAATATCAAATTCTAAGCCTTATTTGTCCAACTTTAGACCAGGTTTAAATTTGTTGATTTGTTTGTTTTTGTTGCCTGACTGCAAACAAACATGTATGCTTGTAAGTAAGCAACCAGGGGACCGACGACGTTAGGTCCTCTCCGAAATACTTGGTAATGGGAATTAATGCCTTACCAAAGGGTAATTACTCATCAACTCGGTTTCGAACCCGGGTCCTCCCGGGAAAGAGAACACTGCTTGACCACTAAGCCATCCCGCCTAACTTAGACTGCTTTCAAGAAAGCGTTTACTATTCACCGTGCATGACTGTTGCAGTGCAGTGTTTTAGATTCGAAATAATTTATGCTTAGACAGAGCAAAAATCCTTGTTTGACGTTAACGACGCCTTAGAAAATATGAAAACGAGTTTGGATGTGATCTTTTCGACACGTTTTCCAACATAAAACAAAATCTTATAGCGGAAACTTTAAAAAGATCTCCCCACCAAAAAGAAAACTTAGACAAAAGTTTATTGTACTCACTGTGAATTTGTCTTTGATGAAGCTCTTGACTTTGAAGAACTCCCGACTTTGGATCATGCCGAGTTCGGGAAAAGCTACAGCAAATTAAAAGATATAAGAAGAATAAAACAAAACAACTAAGGAGGTTTAGACTTACTTTATGTACAGATCATGTAAGGCATCTGAAATATAAGTGATAAGGGGAATTATTAGATTTTTTTATTTTTCAGATAGGAGAGCAATTTTTCAAGGGATGATCGTTTCGTGCACAAAAGTGTAACAAAATGAAGGAAATGATGAAAAGTCTTTGTAGATTTTTCAAACATTCCACCGATGATGGCGCCGTTCCATTCAAGGAACGTCCAGGTATAATTATATAGTCGAACGTGTGCTGCTGAATTATGGGGATTACTTTTATTATTGACTATTGAGCAACGTCCAATTTTTAAAAAAAAAATTTTAGTCTTTTGTTCTCTCTCTCTCTCTCTACGACGAATTAAAAGTATGGTTTTGATTATTTTCGCGGCTTATAACACTTAAGTTTCAACGTCCCTAGTGAGATTTATTTCCAATTGATAGATTGGATAGTATTTATAAACTTAGCATTGTAACCGATGAGATTTAATTCAGGTCTGGTACTGGAAGAAGAAAAAACGGGTGAAACAAGGGTCCAAAGTAGGCCTATGTAAAATAAACTTCGGTGACCGTCCTAGTATTCCATCGTTTTAAATCAATTATGGTGAGGTGTTTGTAATCAGTTCATTGACATACTTGATTCTTTTCTCCTCTGTCTCTCTTGCATGGACCGTGTCACAAAACAGCAGCATTGCTCTTCAGCCGGCTCGATCGTGGCTAGATTTGAAGAATAAAAAGAGATAATAGATCGTTAACACATTCAACATTCGACAGATTGTAAAGACAATTCAAAATTCGAAAAATCAACCTCAGGCGATTTTGTTGTCGTTCATCACCTTTTAAAAATGTTCATACCATTACAAAGACGTACTACGTCATCAAAACGTGATTTCTACTGGAAGTGCTTTGGGATAGGTTTTTGAAAGTGCTCTTGTCTGAGCTGACTTCTGGTAAGTCTTTTCAATTGTGTTGCAAAGAAAGACCACATGAAATAAAAGCAGAATATATAATTGCTTTCCACAGGTACATTCTCCACTCCCTGGGGAGCATTCCAAGCTTTTCCAGCTAGTCTCATTTTTAACGGGCAGGCACATGCTAATCTGATCACATTGTCCTTATCATCCATCAGGGGCGTTTCACAAAACTTGTCATCAGTGACAAATGACAGTTTTTGTTATAAGCTACTGAAATCTTTGCTTCTTTGCCATTGAAGAAAGGCTTTGTGAAACGGGTTCAGGGTCCCCATCTAGAACCTGGGTGAAGGACAGCAATGTATATAGCATGCCTTGCTCAAAGACATAAATTACGTTACCATGCCGGGGCTTGAACCCACGACCTTTGGATTCCAAGTAAAGCGATAAACCTCTCAACTACGACACCTCTGCGCTTGTGATCATGAGAGGTGGCATTAGAAATTTAGAAAAAGAGGGTTTCAAAGTAGCCGCAGTAGATTGTTAGACAAAAAAAAATAAAAGACAGCCCCCCCCCCCCTCCCCACCCCCCAGGGAAAAACACTTACGTGGGGGTGTATAGTCATCGTATTCTGGGAAGTAGTACTGCATCTTGGTTCTTCCACTTCGGATCTTATCTGCTAAGATATCTTGTTTATTCAGAAAGACGATGACAGAGGTCTCCTTCAAAAACCTGAAGCAAAAAAAAAATCCATGTTTATCGAGAAAACGATGAAGATTTCATTTGAAGACTTTGGGAATTCCTTTTTCTTGTATTCTAAGAAAGACAAGTTCAAGATTTAACTACTAACAAGACTATGTCAAAACAATCAGGATAACGTTGAGTCGAATCTTTCAATTACACTTTGGAGGAAACTGTCTGGAACCAGTTTTGAAAGGTTGATTTCGTAGTGCATAATGATCGGACCGTAAGATTTTGGAACTACTAGATGAGAATGAATTTAAATTTACTAGATAGATGGCCGACGAGAACGACCTTTTTTCTAAAGGTTTAAAACAGACATTTTCTGTCACACGTACTATCGTTCCTAAGAACTGTTAGTCTGCATGAAATGAACTAGATTAATGAATGTTGCAACGAAGATCAGAAAGTTACTGACCTGTTCTTCCATAATCTTTCGTAGAGGGATAGCGATTCTGCAAGCCTGTTCTTGGAATCATCTTCTCGCAGTTGAAGATCGAATCCACTACAGGCAACGACGAAGATTAAGGCAGTTATATCTGAGAGATAAAAACATAATAGTTATTATGATAATAATTATAATAATATCTATAATAAAAACTACCATAATAATTAAAAAATAATAATGATATTGAAAATACCTTAAACAACTTTTTAAACAAAAATGCAAAGATGATGCCATAGAAGGCAAAACTGCAGTTACGGTTGCTAGCGATGTAATTCGTTTTACCTTTATAAAGAGGTATTCGTGACACAGTACGAATATAACTTTTATTTTCGTAATGAAGAAAAAAAAAATCTATATTTTCTTTATGAGACGCTATTCATTCTTCCTAAAGCTTTTTATAGGGATTTTAAAATTATTTAATCGTAATATACCCGTCTAATTCGTTTAGCATGTAGCAAATATCTTTGGAGGAAGAATGTAAAATGATAAAGAAATACCTGAAAAACATTGAATCCACTTTTTCCGTTCGTCTCTCTGTCCTCCTACATCTAACATACTAAGGATAAAGATAAAAGCAATATATATAAACATGAAAGTCGTGATATTATGTGTCTTGCATTGTAAGGATAAGCTTGTGAAAGTCCTGTCTTTCAGAATAGTGACCGTTTAAGGTTTAAGTTCTGGTATAAATTAAAATAATTTGTGAGCTTAATCATTCGTTATAACGACAGTTATTACCAGAGATTACCAGAGGGGAGAAATGTGTCCTGAATAGAATTCCTCTGAAATTTCCCTCATATTAAATATAATATCAAGAAATCGGTCCAAAAAAATTGTTTGTGATCCTATATACCCATTGATGTTCGAAGTGCATGTGATCTCCAGCAAGATTAGGGCGTCTTTTTTATCATTCCTAACTTGCACAGTATAACCTTTCCCAAAAGCATAAACACAGATTATTTCACGATGTAACTTCATAACCAAAACTGATCTTAAAGGTGAAATTCAAAGAAGATCACAAATATGTCAACATTACTAATGTATAATTAGAAACTGGTAAGCTAACAGATGGCCACGAACAAGTTTTAGGTCAACTTCATATCGGGTGATCTATAAAAATAAAAATACAAAAACCTCCATAGCAGCTGGGATATAAGAGAGATTCGCCGGAAAAATAACAATGTTTTAATGACGTCACTATATGGACCAACAGTGCCCAAGCAGACGACATCCCATAGAGAATGAACGTAATTGCAAAGCTATTATTTCTCAAATTATAATGAGTTTAGTGTATATAAATGTAATGGCATGTCAAAACCATTCAAAAGGGGATATGACCCGATTCTGATAACTAAAATATTTTGCTTTTAAATACACAGGATAAGGGTTAATTAACAATCAAAGAAACCAGACTTTCAAATTGAAAAGCCCCCGGAATGGTATTAAGGACGGCATTTAAGTCTGCCCAAGCAGACGACATCCCATAGAGAATGAACATAATTGCAAAGCTATTATTTCTCAAATTATAATGAGTTTAGTGTATATAAATGTAATGGCATGTCAAACCATTCAAAAGGGGATATGACCCGATTCTGATAACTAAAATCTTTTGCTTGTAAATACACAGGATAGGGGTTAATTAGCAATCAAAGAAACCAGACTTTCAAATTGAAAAACCCCCGGAATGGTATTAAGGACGGCATTTGTTTCCTCTTGAAACGCCGAGCATATCCCGGCGTGTGCAACTGAATATACAATGGCGTCTTATTTTGTTTACAAGCGACAGATTCCTTTATTTTTTTATCGCTGCATTTGTCATCAAAATAAAACCATGCGCGGGGTTTAGAGTGAGGCAATAGATTATACATTTAGCCTGACGGTATAGTGAAGTAAGAGAAAGAACTCAAGAGAAGATGAAAACACAGGCACTGAAAATGTGTGAGATGTCATGGGACATCGTCTGCTTGTGCAAATCATGTCCATACTGTGACCTCACACATCTCAGCAGCGTTCGGAGAGCTCTTCAGGTGCTATGCCGGGGCTGTATTTAAGCGTTTTGTAATTTATAATAATCATTACTTCGAATGTTTTCAAGCATTGAATTTTGATAACCTTGTCGAATCAAAGTTTTAACTTTGCAATAATGAAAATAAATTATAAAAGCAATATGTCAAACAGTCACGCTGAACTGCTCACCAAAATAAATACTCTTATACTCGTTGGTAACCTGCCATTTACTTCGACGAATTGTTCTCTTTATTACGTCACTGATATAGGAATAGGGTAAAGGTAGCATATAAAGCTAATGTTGCAGGAGTAGGTGCCGTAAGACCTTTTAGTTCCATATCCCGAATTACTTTTGATAACCTGATAACTTGCTACACTGGGCTACTACTACTTAAAAATTACAACCAAAACGACTAAGTGCTAAAAGGAGAAGGACGTGAATGTAGCTACAAGAATTGGGGGAGTTGTGACCTCCCAACATTCGACATTTGTGTACGCTTCATGCATGTCTGAGCAATTTATCTTTTATCCTTTCATCTGTATGTTGCTTGCTGCCTAAAAGTTGCCAAATCGTCAAATTTGGAGTTGTTTTACTGAGCGAGACGAAAACCTTCGCCTTTATCGCTCGAAGATGTCGTTCACGAAGCTGTTCATTATGGTCATGGCCCGGCATCAGGATGAACCTGCTTAAGGACGTTGTAGATGTAGATTCCATAGCTCTACGTCATTTTCCGATACCCCCCCCCCCTTACACATAGTTTAGATGGTCTTAAAACGGCCCCGAATAGGAGATTAGTAAATACTTACTGAAATGTGACATTGTTGATATCAAACCAGGTTTCCACCACCCCTGTAGTCATCTTTCTCGTTCTCACAATGTCCTGTAAACATATGGATATGATACATTATTTACACTTTGGGCGTGAACAAAGCAGTTCAGGAAAAGATTATATGAATGATATTAATGTAATCATGAGATCCGTTTCGTTTATAGATATAGCCTTAGCTCAAAAACCATCTTTGAAAGTGATTATCTGCCGCATTCAGTTTACCAGACCTTTCGTCAACACAATGGGCATGCATAAATAAGTACAAATTCTTGTTTTTCCCCTTCATATTCGACATACCTGATCTGACGGTATAAAGTCCGGATCCATGATGAACTCAATCTTGTCTAGAAAGCTGGAGTGAAAGTTAAAAAAAAAATCAATCGCGTTAGTGCCATCACACATTTCAATTATCTTTAGAGTTTGACTTATTTTGTGTTTGTTATATCATTCTGAAACTACTTACCGACAGCATGATGTTTACACTTATATCATTTATAGTTGATCAAAATGACAACAATCAATTTCTGAACAATACGATTTCCTCCGAAGTAATGGAGTTTCATAATATTTTCTTTTTAATACAGTATCTTCTGAATCAGGGGCGTATCATAGTTCAAGACGTATAGAGGGATCCCTTGTCTTAGAAGAGGGAGTTAAATTTTCTAAATCATTGTATGCAATGTTATCATCTTTGTCATACCATCATTCGCGTGTCTTTCCCCTTCTCTTGCTCTGTTCTTCTTTTTCTCTATCTCTTTCTCACAATGTACCCCCCCCCCCCCCCCCCCCCCCCCCACTCCGAGAACGGACGGACCCCATGCGTGTTACCAAAATGTCCTTTTCGTAACAAAAGAAAAAGGTCGACCCGTATTGACTTTACACACCGGACTTTTGCTGAAAAGGGGGGGGGGGGGTGCTGAAAAAGGCTCATATAACAAAAGAAAAAGGTCGACCCGTATTGACGTTACACACCGGACTTTTGCTGAAAAGGGAGGGTGGTCGCTTGGAACACGCATATGCGTACCCTAAATAACACTGAGTGGGGGGGGGGGGCGGGAATTGTACCCCTTCCCATCCCCCTCTCTTCCTCCCTCCCCTTCCCTCTCTCTCTCTCTCTCTCTCTATCACCCTATCTCCCTCGCCCTGCCCGCTTCTCTCTGTCTCCCGCTACCTCTCTTTCTCTCTCTTTCTCTCTCCCTCTGTCATCTTTCATGCATCATCGATGAGGTGGGGCAGGTATGGATAGACGCATACTGTCCTGATTTCTAAGTTACGAAATGACCAAACTAAAAATACGTCACATCAATTATTTACGTAAAGGCCAAATTAGATCGGTCGGTGACATTCTCAAAATATCCCCCTCATATGCCCCCCTTTTGTTCAATGCCCCTTTACACGTAATCATCTAATGGAACGGGCATCTTCAATTTGGATGCATAATTCAATTCAAAATTGGAGCCTAGTTTAGGGTACTTCATTGTCTGAATACCCCGTCACATATCATTACTCTCAAAGCGCTGGCTTTGTAAATTTTATCAGGAGGGAGTTTCATGATAATGCAGAATTACTGAACCATAGTCGTGTATAGAGAAACAGGAAGCCCAAAATAGACCTATCGGGTGTGAAGGCCCAATTTACGCGTTTTTAAATTACACATACTTTTTAAAATTAAAGATAAACTCCAGTACTGGTAAACAAAATAATAATAATTCTCACAGAATCAAACGAAACTTACACTGAATGTCCAAGATTACAAATAAATGACATGTGCCAAACAATTTTGGAAGAAAATGTATACTGGCTGAGTAATGAGCATAGAAAGACAAGGAAATCAAGGTAGTACTAGCCCCGACACCATGTGTGTTGTCCCATATATAGCTTTCTATGTGAGTGCTTGTTACTTTACCAAGACTCGGTCAAATTTATTATGATTGTGATGACTCCAGAACCTTGCAGTGCACAACAATACTTACATGCTACATGATCAACTGTTTCTGATCCTTTCCACACCTTTTCTTTCACAATGCAATCGCATTACCATTACTAAAGTTTATCTTTAAATTGTAGCTGTACATTGATATGGCGTTGATAAGTGATACGTTTTCAAAAGTCAAAGTTTTTATTTTAGTTTATTTGTTTAATAGAACTGAATGGAAAAAACTTGTCAAATCAGTGCGAGTACGCTCGACCAAGAAGTATTTGATAGCATATTTATTCTAAATCTGTCTGGCAGCCTAGACTGAATTCTACTTTTTTTTTTATATAATACCAATAAGAACGAAGTGCATTATGAAAAAAACATAACGATACTATACCAAATATATTTGTAAAAAATGATGTAGAAGGCATGCTATCCAATTCAATTCACAAATTTACAATTTAACAAATCATTTTTCATTTTTTTATTGGGTAAAGATGCTGATTGGTTTTTAACATCAATTTTTTTTATTTGATACTGTTTACAATTAAATTGTTTGACAGAGACGTTCCTGCCACAAACTTAGGCTCAAATGAATTAACGACTTCAGTTAAATGTACGCCTTCTTCCTGCTCTTACTATGCTTGTTGAAATTATTTGTCATGATTGTGCATATACATTTCATTACTTGAGTAATTAGTTGTTATTGAGAAAAACATATTGAAAAACAAATACTGCGTTGAAATAAAATCCTGCATTTCCCTGCCTCATGACTAAGGAATACATTAATATTGGACAATACTTACTAATTGGCACTATCTAAGAGTTGGAACTCGTTTGCACGTGAAAAACAGTCCTGCACTCCATCGTCTTCCCATAGCCGCTGTGTATTGCTTAGGAATTCCTGTAGATTAAAGAATGAAATTGTTAAAATGTTAACATATTATACTCCAACTATTGCCGAATTTCATAATTGCATGGGGTTCATTTAAAGGCATCGTTTAACAATGTTAAATCTGAGATGCATGGCAGTGCCATTGATTAGGAGAGTTTGGCCAACCCGGTTCGAGTTGGACTCAATATGGTGACTACTGCTTTGTTGGGCGAGCACAAAACAAAAGAAAAGATTATACGCCATGCTGTGACCCACTGAAACCATGTTGGCCAAACTCTGTGTATAGATGGCTCTGGCCGTAGGTGTCAGAGAGCGCCTTTAAGATTCAAATAAGCACCTTTCAGACAAAAAAAAACACCCAGTGTCGCTCTGGGCTGCGTCTCACGAAACCGTCATAAGTACAAGTTCAGCGACATCCCATTAAAATGCGTGTATTAATTTTAACACGTGTTTCAAAGGGATGTCGCTGAACTTGTACTCATGACGGTTTCGTGAAACGCAGCCCAGAATGATGTACTTACAGGCGTTACTTCGCACTTAGGTTCACATGCCCGGATGTACTCTAAGGACGGCATCAGCTCAGGATCTTTAAGCTCTACAGGCGGATGAAGACGAGGCATCGCTTCGACCAGACTCTTCCCATTGCATTTTGGAAGAAGTGGAAGAAAAAAAAAACCTTAAAGTTATTGAGATTGGTTGGTATGTAGTACATAAGATCATTTGTGTATTTTCAGGTTTAAGAATCATCAAATGAAATGACTCAGTCACGCTGAACACACAGATATGGGTGTATGGGACTACACTGACAAACATTTGTCATAAAATATGCTCCCAAGTTTGAAGTATTACGAGTTGAATTAGGAATATCTCAGCAATTCTAGAGTACTCCCTAGCATGTAAAATTTCTATATTAAACATTTCCACATCGGAATAGAAATAATTAATAGGTTCACAAATTATTTGTCACCTTTACAAGAACTCAAGCTTTTCTCAAAATGATGATAACAGCAATACTTCATTGTTTCATATAGGCATAATTATCAGTGTATCTGAGGAGCATTCTTGTTTGTTTCTTAATGGGTTGTGTAATGTTTCTTTATTCTTGCTTTATTTTGTTGTTGTTGTTGTTGTTGTTAATTAGCTTCTTTTTTTTGTTGCTTCTTTGTTTCTTTTGTTTGTTTGTTTCATTTGTGTAAGCAAGTATTTTTTTTCTCCCAAGTCCATTTTGATCACAAACTGCATTTAAAGGAATAATCCCTTCAAGTCACTAATCAAATTGTTAAGTAGTGAACAGTGTCCATTGTAAAGTGCAGAGTCGTACTAGAATCAAGTTAATTAAACGCTTTAGGCAGTAACATTGTAACACGTAACGCATTATATAACAAACATTTGACATTGAGAAAGCAATATCGGGCTGCATAATGCAGACTAAGTCCAAATCTAATGCAGATTACAATTTTCACATAAAAGTGAGCCTTCATCGAGTGATTGCTTGTAGTGAGGTACAATCATAAACACCATATAACATGAAAACATGGTATCAATCAGGCAAAAAACGACAGAGATGATGACAATTGGCAGTATATTTGCCGTCTCACTTTAAACCATTATGAAATGAAGAAATATTACCACATAGTAAGTTATAAAATTCAAATACCTAGTATTGAATTTACATAATTAGATGTGCTTAAAAAATAACATTTGTTTTTCTACAAGGTTTCGATTTTCATTTGAAAATCGACAGTCATTATTCGTTGATTTACGTCTCCTCTAGTTTATTCAGAACACATTTCAGTAGAGTTTCAACGCGAGGCCATTAAACAGCATATACCCTTAAGTATAATTCGCTATAAGATGCTGAGCTATTAATAGCAGCTGGGTTTTCGCGCGTTTCCTTCCTGCCTCTATATTCAGCACCCTGTCTCCGCATTATAGAATGAAAAATCCCAAATCAGCATTGTGCCGATTTAGCCGTTGCCATGGTTACGTCTTGATGCCTTCTATCAACCTGTTATAATATACAGTTCATCTCTTCTCTTCTCTTTCTTCCTGTCGCCTTAACTTTCCTTCTCCCTCTCTCACTCTCTCTCTCTCTCTCTCTCTCTCTTTCTCTCTCCTGCCTCTCTTTCCCTTCCCTCGTCAATGATGTATATTTAGGAGCATCTTTTATTTATAGAGATATGCATAGCCCCCACACTTGCTACTTCTTGCCAATCCCCCCCCCCCTTTCCTCTCTCTCTCTCTCTCTCTCTCTCTCTCACTCTCTCTCTCTCTCTTTCTAACACTATGCTTGTGTGTATAAATGAACCCTTGTGTATAATTGTATATATGACTTTGTTCGTATGATCGTGCGTGTACGTTATGTGTCTTAAATAATGCTTCATAAATTCTTAAGGTAGCCTTGACTGGGCATGTGTAGGTTGCGACAAACCTGAGGCAGTACAATGGTTGCTATTTCATCTCTGTGTATTTAATCGTATCATTGTTGTGGTAAATCGAGCGGATTATTTCCAAGCTAGTTTGATAGGCTTCATGTTTTCTTAGACTAAATAAATAGTTATCTTCAAGTTGATTTCAAAATTATCCAGAATAAAATTAGTTCAAACATACAACGAGTGGAGTTACTGTCAGAGGCTTCTGAAGCACATACCAGCAGTTGTCACCGATACTACGTTTAATATAACAGTTGATGATCATATAACAATCTGCAGGTATATTATGATCTAATACATGGTATTATTTACTTTGCACTTGGTTTTATTCAGAGGGTCATTAAATGACCACTACACCATTACGAGGGTTCAGTGACACAAAGACGTAACTCCATATTTTGCCAAAATGTGTATTTGATGTCAAAATGTTCAGAAGAATATGGGCTTTCCAGGAAACACAAAGACGTAACTCCAACCAACAACCCATTGAAGTCAATGGCTTGTGAAACATAGACTTAACTCCTTGAGGCCCAAGTGCTCAGTGACACATAAACCACTTTTCTTTTCTTTTTTAAATGGCCAAAATGGAGTTACGTCTTTGTGTCCCTGACCCCTCGATTATATGGGGATCGTGTTCATCCCAAATGAAGCACTTGTCTGGCGCCATGTATCTGTTTCAAGCATTAAAAAGCACCCGCTCCTCCAATAGTTATAGAGGCTGTTCACACTGCAATGAGGTAGCGCGGTCTATCGTAGCACCCCCTTTTTTTCTAGCGCGCGCTAGACCGCGCTATCTCACGTGGACCACCCCAAGAGGTGCTCCAGTGGCACGCCGTTTTGGCTCCCCGTGGCTCGCTGTTGGGCGGACCGAAACGACGTTGTACCTTCCAAACCGCAGAGATCTCTGCCGGTGTGAACAGCCTCATGGAGTACACATTTTGATTGAAAAGATGGGTTATGAAACAACACATGCATGCATCGCTGATGTTTTATTCGGGAGTCCCCCAAGACTCTATACTGGGCCCCCTACTGTTCACAAATGTAACAGTGTGTCGTATTTGAAATTATACATTTAAGCCATGGGTAATACTCTATCCGTATGAGTAGGAACACGGCTTCTAACCCAGTCACATCACTCTCGTCCAGATAACACGTGGTAAACAAAATGCCAAAATACTTGTAAAGGAATGACATGCGCGCAACAAAGGTTCTAAGCATTCTCGCGTTCACACGTAGCTCTGTGTTTGATACAGTAATGTGAAGCGTATTGCACTTAAAGAAATCATTTGAAAAACGCCATGGTTTGGCCGCGTCATATATATGATGCTATGACTGACGGTAAACTGACCGGGGTCCGTCGCTATTTATAAGGACCGCTATTTATAAAAGACCGCTATTCATTTAGTCCCGCGTTATGGATAGCGGTCCATATGAATAATGATCCTTATGCATAGCGGTCCTTATTGATAGCGAGCTTGACCCAACTGACCTAATCTGAGCCAATCGAGGTTATGTTATGTAATTTTATGTTCGGTCTATTGTCGGTCTCGTTTGCTTGGCTTGTAGTTTAGACATTTCAAGGCGAGAAGGAACCAAATTGGTTGAGAGGAATACGTAAATTCTTGGTTCTGACAACGCAAACGTGATTTTTGTAGTAGTTTCATATCGGAAACAATATCAGATCGAGGAACATGTTGTGGGAATTTCCCAGCCCAACGAATGTTGGTAAACTTAAGCAAAGGTCCATTAGATACGAAGGTGTTAATTACTTGGAGCTCAATATACAATTTGAATCAATCACGTGTTCCGAATACAAAACATAAAATAGATAACTTACCATGATACATTCTCGAACATTTTCCAAGATAATGGGAGTGAATTCTCGTCTTTCACTGGTAAAAAATGAAAGAAGAGAATTATTTGATTACAATTATTTGAGTACGTGTGAAAAGTAAGCTACCCAGAACAGAAACTAAAATTTCGAAAAATCAACCTAAGACACCTACTTTGGATTGTGCGAACATGCTTATGAAGTATTACGTAATCCGAACAAAATTTATATGGGATGCTCAAGGGGATATTGAAATTGCGCTCGAGTTTATTCTATTTTTTAAATAGGCCTATTTATAATCGTCTTATTAATATAGCAAAATAAAAGTAATGTGTTAAAATAAATGGTGTATTGTAAAAATCATAAATTGGTGTTTACGAGTTATGCAGAGTTGCATCTTCGGCACAGCAAGGTTACATTGATTTTATGAAACATCCTGAACAAGCAGATTCATGGGAACATTTTAATCGGGCTCTACGCCTGATAAGGAATTGCCGGAGCAATTATGAACCCTTCCTCTCCTTTCCCTCTTTCCCGTCATCATATTTAACGGAATACAGCCTGACTGAATGAATCAGTGCCGGATCAAAGTTTTTTTTTTAATAGATGAATATTTCATGCGATTCTTCATTGGGGGGCCTTTCTTTAAGAGAAAATATATGCAAAGCAAATATCCCCTCATAATAAAGGGAAAGGGGGAGGATGTTGTTCTAAATCACAAAATACCTTTATTTACAAACAAAATTCATTTCTTATGAAGTTAAATGGGGCGGGAAGAAGAATTTATGCTACCTCTCATTGTATCCGCCTTTATGTAGGATCTTCATCTGTTTGACAATGGTACTCTTACCAGATTCGCCTGCGCCTGGAAAAATGAAACAAAATAAATTAGAATACATTGTAAAGCCATGTACAATTTAAGACCCACACACATACACCACTATAGCCAACAACAGCAACAACATCACCGCCACCATGATACTCGCCACCACCTTCCTCATCACCATCATCCTCACCATCATCATCCTCGCCACCATCATCCTCATCACCAACATCACCGTCACCATCCCCAACAAAAACTGTGCTTCGTGGAATTTATTTATTTCAATAAATACCGAAAATTCCCCACAGTCTAAAGCCGATATTAAATTATGATATTTATTTAAAGGGGAATAGTACATATCTCTCTCTCTCTCTCTCTCTACATATATATCATACACGGACACAATCTAAGCATCTTAATGATTTTCTTTGTAGCTCAAAAATTAATGGAATAAAATATATTTGTTTTAGTTGTCTTTTTCCATTCGACAAACAGGACCTAACACAATTTATTACCGGTTTACTGCCTCTAAATACCGTTTTGGTTGCTACGTACTATGTCGAAATGAACAGATTATTTGAAAGAAAAAAAATTGTCACTTTTTAATACCAGTCCGAGAATGAAATATAAAAAATATGACTTTTTACCCAGGGTAGCCACATCAGTATAAATACAAATAAATATAAATGACCCTGCAATTACTATTTTCCCAGCAATTGCATTTACTTATTAAGTATAAAACATTGTCTCAGCTTCTGAAACAAAATCCTGGATTTAGCTCATGCTGCAGTGTTAATTATAAGCCGTTAGGTCAGTCAGGAACCCCATGACTTTTAAAAGCCGATCGCCCGTCTGATTATCAAGATATTTTTGATTGGAAATCGAAATTAACTTTCCTTACGGTTTTCATAACATTGCAGTCTATTGGGGAAAATGAGTATGGTAAAACCGGTCACTCCAAGATTTTTAATTTTTTGAGGCACTTCATGATCATTTTGAAGCGCAATTTTTTAGGGGTTCAATATAACACCATATCAAAGACGCTGATAACACGTAGAGCCATGCACCTCAGATTTAACATTGTTAAACGATGCCGGAACACCTATATCCTCAACTCTTTATAAAAATAATGACATCATGTCTGAATTATTAAGAAGGGACAGTCCTTTTCGATGCTATTAACTGGTACTTAACTATTGTCGCGAATGTATTTTACATCCGGCAAAACTTTAAACAAGGTATCGTAAAATACCTTTTTATGGCGAAGGTGGAGATGGCCATGGTAAAAAGAGATTTACAGGCACCTTTTCTCTGTTTTATTGATGGAGCCAAGGGTTGTTGCGTCTGGGAGGTTGTACGACCAAAGAGTTAATATTAATAAGGAGACACGAACGAATGAGCTCCTTAGTACGACACTGTGTTTGTGTTTATTGCTCCGCGCAAACATTTGCTTTAACACTAACCAAATTCTTAAATTCAACCCTGTATCCAATACTATACAGTGCGTCCCAGAAAAAACGAAACCGAGAATTATTAATATTAGTTTAAATCATAACTTAATCACAATTTAAAATTAATAAATAACACATATTTAGCTTAGACCCTTCTCTGTTATTTGATGCGACGCATATGATGCAAATTTCACGCATGAGTGATTAAAAACAATTTAAAGAGAGGGTACCAAAAAGTCGTTTGGCGGGCGGTATTTGAATTTCAAAGAGAACATCACATTTCTAGAAAGTTCATTTTCTGCCCTTTCATATGACACCTCAATCAGGAAAAATGAGTTAGGAATAACAAAGTTCTGTTCGTTTAAAGTAATGCTTGCATTTTAAGTTCTATAAATTTATCGAACGATTTCTTTTTCACTAGCTGCCTATCGTTTAGCAACAAAGAGAATTGAAGAAAAAAAAGACTTATTCTCCGTTTCGTTGACGTTCAGCCACAGACGAAAGACTTCATGCATCTTGTGAGTGGATCCGGGTGTTCTTTGAAGCACCCTCCCCCTTTTTGGTCTACTTGGATTGGAATCAAAGGCACATACCACCCCCTCTGACTATCCCCGTCCTCAACCCTTTCGTTTCGTTTTTATCCTCCTGGAAGGAAACATTAAACAGTGTCCTTGAAATTTATAGGACTGACTGAAGCACATGCGAAGGTTCTTAATGAGCAGGAACCCGACAGATTCATTAAAGATGTAAACTGGTCGAAATTAACCAAACTTTTTGTTTAATGTGCCAAGAAAAAAACAATTACAAATAGTATGTCGAAGCAGGATTTAAAAGACCTGTCATACAATATTAAAAGCACATATAACGCATTAAATATATGTATTTACAAGAACATAAATATCAAATTCGTGAATGCAAGAAATTATAGGAGAAACAGACCGGCGAATTTTGGAATCAAATGAAGAAAAAGATTTCGGTTCGGTTATTAATATATATGATAACGTTGATTTATTGAATTCATTTTATATGAAGTATCGAATTTGAGAGCTATCCTCCTCGAGGTCACAGTTGCCTATGTGATCATTTCGAATGACTTTGGAGATTATATTTCAAACCTATAATATTTTCGATTGCTTCTCCTTTTTTATTCAAAAATTATTCATGATTATCTTCAGAACACTTCTACAATTACATTTCACTTTGAGGGTTGTGGACTTCGTTTATTTTTCCACCCTTAATTTGTTTTCGATTTTTTTTTCGTCATTTGAGTTACATGTTTATAAGTAACATTGGGTGTATTGTTTCGAGCCTTGGACACTAAGAGGTGTTTCCGGTGACATCAACACAGACTAAAGACACCAGTGTGTTATGATATTAATAATAATGATAAGCAGAAAACATCTTGTTTAAAGAACGGCTGATAAAACTGTCCCGATGTGTATGCAATCTTAATATACAATATAACATAGGAAACTATAAATATACAAAACAGGATTTCTTCTACGAGAAGGTTCGCCTTATCAATAGTTTACCATTAATAGCTCCATTTATTATTTCTCTTGGGGCTAAGATAGCACGAGAGTTATATATAGATGATTGTAAACAATCGTATCGCTCTTGTCAATATATCCCAGTATACCAAAGTACGTGACATGTTCTAAGGTCACCATCAATTGCACAGGATATCGAAGACATATGAATGATAGACCTACTCATTTCATTGAGGTCATTCGCAACTCTTATTAAGCTATACCATGTAGACAATCAAGGGCCATATAAATATGACTGTATTATGTATACTAGAGCATGTATTTATCTCTGTGAAATATTCTTCTGTTAATTATCTGTTCAGCCAATCGTATGAATAAGCAAAACAATGATACGAACATCATGATTGCCAAACAAATCCAGACAAAATGCAACAAGAATATTCACAAACTGGAAAGCTCACAAAGCTAACGTCGATGTCAATGATTTTGATACACCTAAAGACGTGGGGGATACTCCTATGATTAATTCATTTCAATTATTTGAGAAAAAGCTCAATTTTTTCTTCTTCAAGAACAGTAAAACCAACAAGTTTTTACCATATTAAAAGTGCCCTCCCTGCAAGGAAAAGGGTAATTGCCCACCCTAATTACGTTTTACTTACGGTTTTATTTATAAACTGTCAAGCTTGTTGGCTCTTTCTATCTCTTTTTTGTTTCTCTTCTCCTTCATTTCTTTTCCCCCTCCTCACCCCCCCCCCCCCCCCATCTATTTACCTCCCTCCCCTCCCCCTCGCTCTCTCTCTCTCTCTCGTTTTTTTTTTAATTATACTTTCCGTTGCCCTTGGACAAGATTTATCACATTCCAACATTCTCATCTATTGTTTTCTTTCAGTATATATATGTATGTAGAAGATATAACTGTATATCATGGCTAGGGCTTTGACTCACCTACTAACAGGAGTCGCATCGTCTTTCTCATGTAATGCTTGAAGCGGGTGCTTTCTCTCTTAAGATAGCGGTCAATTTGCTTGCTGCGTTCCCGGGGGTGAAGGGTCTCGCACGTGCCTTCCCCCGCCGAGAGCGGATCGGCCATTCTCGGCAGGTTCTCGTCCGTGGTGCTGGGCGTGATCAAACGGTAGTTCGTCGACACGGGCATGTCGGTAAGCTAGTCTTCCTTGACCTTGGTGGTAGAAAAAATGTCTTTGAGAATATCTTCCCTTCTTAAAAAAAAATGTCGCAACGTGACTCGTGTAAAATATCTTGTGCTCCTTTCAGAGCTTTGGTCATGACATGTCACCGATTCGACTGAGCTTCAAATTAGTTGCATCTATTTGTGGCCTCATTTCCTCCATCGTGTCTCTGTCAACCTATATTAATCGCTCGGCCTTTGTGTGTTACTGAGAGCGAATCCGTGTCATTATTGTGTTCCAGTTTCATCCAATATTATGCAGTTGATGTTCTGATCATAGTTGCAGGCAGGTTCAATACACGTGAGTCAAATGGCGCGTGACTACAAAACAAGCGGCAAAACACTTCAGATGCCCATAATGACACACATCAGACATATGGGAGACAATGCTTCGTCATCGATCGACACCTGAAAAGAAAATACAAAAGCAAATTAATTAGATAAAACAATTATGAATTAAACAAATAAGTGGCGTTAAAACGGATGTATATTACATTTTGGCAAAATTGGAACAAGGAAAAAGGCATACCCTCTAATTAGAGGTTAGGTATCGAGTGAGGTGTGGAAGGACGTCGAAATTAGTTGGGGACAGCCCCGCTCCCAAAGGATTATCTGTGTCTTGTGTATGCAGTAAATTCTAGCGACCAATGTGCCTAAACACACATGCACACCCACCCACCCACACACCTACACACGCGCCTATGCAAATCTGGTGGTGACGAATAATCTCTATACAAGTTATCAGTTGCCAACATTAAATTGAAAATGAGTGTTAAAGGTGAGAGGGGATTGTCTTATGGAGATAAGAGGCAACAATGAAACAGATCTACAAGCCTCCGTCCCAGCGGTTCTTCTTATCATCAGCTCAACGATCTATATCAAAGTAATAAGGGGCAGATCGAATAGTTTTGTTTCATGAAATGTTTTATTTCTCTAAACAGAACTAGTACAAATCAAAACTTAATGCAAATTACATAATTCATAATTGAATCAGTTACCATTAAGTCTGAACTCATACATTTTCTTTTTTATCCATTACATTAATGCAGAGGAACAATATTCAAAATATATATACTTTGGTGGGTTATTTTACAATTTTATTTTAAATAAAACAATGCTTTGTACATACAATAATAATACTCTTTAAATAAAACAAAGTACTACTCCTGGAATACCAACAAAAAAACAACCTACAAACAACGATCAACTTTAACCATAATATAAACACCTTACACCAGGATTTCGAACCACTGCTACGTAACACCATATAGAGAACAAACACCTGGGGGGTGTTTCACAAAGATTGTAAGTCAAACTTAACTCTAAGTTGGACTTAAATATTATGGAGAGCCATTTGTAGCCTTATAATGAAATTTATTCAAAAGCTAAAATTCAAGTATTTTAGACTTTTCATAAATTCAATATCAAGGACATAAAATCTCCCATGATAATAGAAAATATAAATGATTTGAATCAACATTTTATGCATTTTAAAATAACTTTTACAAAATATTTTTAAGGATGCTAATGGCTTTCCATAATGTTTAAGTCCAACTTAAAGATAAGTTCAACTTAGGATCTTTGTGAAACACCCCCCTGATATGTCAAATAGACTGGTTTAATAACATATTTAAATTGTATCCATACTTTGTAACAAGGGTGGTCTTGACAACCTGGAAGCTTTCCCGAGGCTTGCCAGACATAGCAGCAGTAATGTATGCAGCCTGGATTTCCAAGTATTCTAGTTTATTCATCAATAACAGGTTAATAGAGTAACTCGTCATTAGGTCCCCAGGAAAGAAATATCCATTCATTCGAATATATTAGTTAACCCGTTACTACAGGTACTTCTGAATGCAGGTTAATTGATAAAATAAAATCATAAGTATTATGGCAAATAATATAGGTTAGCTTAGCTGCCAAGTTGTCAAGATATGCTGTTGCTTCTCAGTGAAAAATAGTATTTAATATGACATCTCGCCTAGAGAACATACATTCATTAGGAGCTAGTCTAAATCCTTCCAAACTCAGTTCACCACGTTTCAATTGAAAAGGGAAAAAAATTCCCTTAGCCTGAGAAATAGGCTGAATAATGACACGCGAAAGCAGAACGCACTTTTCCTTGATGAAAATAAATAGGGATGCACATGCCCTTGTAGTCGGTCAACAGGCATAAATCTTCTTCTCCCTCGTTTCCCCAAGACTTCATCCTTATTCACCACCAGCTAGCGACATGTATATGCCTAACTTTCCTACGGATTTTGACTTCAATTTTCATTCTTTCTTGACAGATAATGCCTCAGTCACACATTTGCGTATTCGGCTTGCGTATTGCTGCGCGTTTATGTCACTCCGTTTTAACATTTATTCCTATTTCTTGATATCAAGAATTACCATTGCTTTACAACTAAAAATCATTTCTTGATATCAAGAAATAGGAATAAATGTTTAAACGGCTTGCCATAAATACGTGAGCCAAATACGTAAAGGTGTGACCGAGGCATAAGAGGTGTTCTGTTCTGTCCTAATCTCCTCTTGCATTTCAGTTATCATATCTTGCGCTTCATGAAGTGATTGATATCAATCTAACGTAGAATTCAATATGGACAGCATATTGACTCTCTAAAGAAGACACACATTTTAATTTCCCTGAAATTGAGACCAGAAGGATGAAGAATATCTTTACAACAGAAAAAAAACTAATTATCTTACAACCCACTTAATAGACCATGCAGATGAACAGAGACTACGGGCTGTATGTGTTTCATATGTACAGATGTATGTATTTGTATTAGGCAAACATTACAATGAAAGAAATATGGGTTTGTTGTCATAGAAACAGGTGTACAGTTGAGACATCCGATGCTTATGGTGCATCGACATACGATTGACTATGAAATCAAACAAACCAACATGATGCCCTACTCTATGAAACTAAGTAGCGTCCACGAGAGGTTCTAGTCTTCTATATTCAGCTCCCATCCCACCCGCTTGGATAAGCATGATACATCTGAAATGAGGATGAACCTAGTTCCTTATTTTCTGCAGGCATGTGCGTGTATGTATGTGGGTGGGTATTACACTAATTAGTATTATTTATTCGGCACCCCAAAGATACAAATAGTTGAAAACATGAGATATAAAGTGAGAACAACAATTAATGACGGTGTTTCTCCTGCTTCACTTCCTGGCATTGCCCGGAAGTAAAACAAGGAGCGTGGAATTCCTATGACCCTTGGGCCTTTCCCACCGACTCCTGGAAGGCGTTTCACAAAACTTGTCATCAGTGACAAATGAGAGTTTTTGTTATGAGCTACTGAAATCCTTGCTTCTGATTGGTTATCAACAGATTTGTCATTGATTTTTGTCATTTGTCATTGAAAAAAGGCTTTGTGAAACGGGTCCCTCGAAACGCAACCGGGAAGCCACGATCATGAAAACGAGCCAAAATAAATGAATAATTGAATAAATTGATCCTTAGATAGACAAATGAAATAATCAATTAATGAAAACAGAACAATCAACTGTCACGAAAATTTCCTTTGAATCATAACACATCTTGAGTTGCCCAAGAAATGAGGGTGTGTGGCAAGTATAAACAGCTGCATCCCTGACTGAAGTACCTGGTTTTCTATGAAACTACATGTATATCATTACAGCAGACTATATACATGTATAAGAGAAAATCATAAACTTTGCAATTATTTGAAAGATACAGCAGTAGAGATCGAAAGTCCGTTCTGAAGAAATTATCAAGAGGGTTTACAAGAGGGCCGCGAGGCCGACATGCTTGTCTCGTGGGCCATATGACAATTTTCTCATGCTCCGTTCAGGTATGAGATGGTGAACCGCGGCATTTTTTCGTTTTTTTCTTTCATTGATGACGTAAACGCCTTACATTTTTGTATCTTACAACACAGAGGTGAAGAGAATACTCGTATGACCTTTTTTGCCCGCAGTTACTATTCATTTACACGTTAAAAAAAAGACCGCTGCGTTTTGGCTGCGGTTTACTGCGTCATATTGGAACAAGCCTTTATGCATCAGTCACACCTTTGCATATTTCGCTTGCGTACCGCTGCGTATTTTTGGCTAGCCGTTTTAACTTTTATTCCTATTTCTTGATATCTGAATTCTTGATATTCTTAACTGAATTCTTGATATATAGAAATGATTTTCTGTTGTAAAGCAATGGAAATTCTTGATATCAAGAAATAGGAATAAGTGTTAAAACGGCTTGCCATAAACACGCAGCAATACGCAAGCCGAATACGCAAATGTGTGACTGAGGCATAAGGGCTCACAAGAACAACATTGTCGGTCAGCCAGTCTACTGTGATATTTTAGATTTTTTGTCATCTTCATGTCCAATATTCCCTGGTCATCTGGGCACCAGTGGTGAACAGTTTGACAATATCATGAAATTTCGTTTTGCCTTTCGCCATCCTTTAATAGGCATGATTAAACATCAAAATTCGCCAGTATTACAATGGCCTCAGTACTTTAGTTTCAATTATCTTTAATTCATACAGCCCATCGTCATAACAGAATCATTAGCATAAAAACAAGGCAAAGAACATTTGCAATTTAATTTGAAATTCAAACTAGTCAACTTAAAAAAATGAGAAGCCTCGCAGCCGAAAGAGCACGAATAAGCGTCACACAATCATACAGTACCTTAAGAAAATATCACAAGCTAAAATTAGTTTCCTACGTGTAGTCACAAAAGTCACGTATGACGATGATTGTCTTTTGACTACGTGACTTTTATGACTACACGTAGGAAACTAATTTTAGCTTGTGATATTTTCTAAAGGTACTATTTAAAATTCTAAACGACGTGACTACGAGGAATTGCTTCGGCGGATCTAAGAGGCGAAGGGGCACTCTCCCATTTCTTTATTACAGGTAAAAATGCCGAAATGATAACATTGGTAAGGAAATTCCCCCATTAATTTTGACCATTCTGGAGCCGACTTTAAATATGGGGAACATGGTTAAAAAACAAAAGTGATTTGACTGTTTCATGAATTTTGTGGATGCAGATTTCACAAGACAAAACTAAAAAAAGAAATAGTGTGCCTGGAAATGCAATATCAAAGTCTAGTGATGAAGAAATGAAATAATGAATATTATTTTATAAATACCTAAAAGACAGTTCGCTGGATATGTAAAGTTTAAAAAAACAGAGCATATGGAATGCTATATACCCCTAATTACAGACACACAGGCCCGAATTCACAAAGGAGGTTTGACGACAAACCTCGGTTTATGTGCGTCATATTACGCGTTTTGACGCGGTTATTTAAACAAACCTTGGTCTGTAAAAACGCGTAAAAACGAGTCATATGACGCATATAAACCTAGGTTTGTCGACAAACCTCCTTTGTGAATTCGGGCCCTAGAGA